ACGAGGGTAGCACAAACGAACAGTAAAAATATACTATTCATTGTATATAAATCGGCAAGCGTATGCTGTCTGTAATCGACGGCACCAATTACTAATAGTTGAGCGTGAACGGATCGTTAAGTGTCGTATGTAACCCGACGGGTTTTTCTTTTCTCTCGCATACATGATCAAAATGCAAACCGATTAGAATGATGATCATAGAGCACATATAAAAGAGAAAACGATTTTATTCTCTGTCTCTAATATTCTTTCTATTCCCAAGGTTGATAGTCGACATTTTTTTTTTTGCTTTAGATAATTAGTTTCATTTTATCTTTCCTGCTTTTACTATATATAATAATAGATTATTATTACTTACTACCTGTTTCAAAATTTATAGACTGATAATAATAGTAGAGTAAGCATCTTCTTTTTACTATTATTCATATAATCAATCTTTTTTTCTTTTGAACAAATACTCTTCAATTTTCTCCACCCCATTTTCTAAGCGCAAACATACATCCATCCATCCATCTATCTATATTGACATTTTTTTTTTTTTTTTTCATAGAAGTTAAAAATTTTATTCTATTTGTTAGATGAATGATGTATAATGATCTGATGTTATTCTATTCTTTTTATTTTTTTGCTATATTATTATTATTAACTTATGGTCAACAAACAATAATCTATGTTAAACGTGGTGATACAGTTGAATTATGTGACAATCGTACAACATTTATTTATGCTTATGAATATCGTAGTTTTGATGGTAAAAAAAATTTAATTATTGAACCAACAAGACATGAACGTTATTCAAATCCATATGGTACAAGTTTATTACGAATAAATAATGTTATTGAAAATGATAGTGGTCAATATAAATGTCCACAAGATGATATTGAATGGCAAAAACTTCAAGTATATGGTAAGTTCAAAGATAAAAAAAAAAAAAGAATATAATGCTAAAAGATATCTTATTATCAATGATGCAATCATATTGTATTTTTATTTATGCATGAAAATGTTTTTATTTGACATATAAATTCTATCATTAATCCATAACATATATCATATACTATTAAGAAAATTTTTCTTCGAAAGAGAGATTGTTCTCTTATTTTATTATTATTATTATCTAAGAAAAATATCTTATTATATACATGATTTATTCTCAATCGAGCAATTGTACTCTATAATAATAGATAGTTTGAATAAGATAAACTACTTTTGTAGGTTATCGAAATACAAAAAATAAAAAGAAACGTCTATTAATGATTAATGGAATCACACACACACACAAATACACTTCAAATTCCTTTTTTTTTTATTCATATACAATATATAATTGAAACAAAATAGAATGAAGCCTTTTTCTTTTTTTTTTATTGTCTCTAGTACCCGTTCAACACGTATACTTGACCAATATGCATACATCAACTCATATGCATAATAATGAATTTTGTGGAAATGAAAATAATAATTGTTTAGCTATGATTGAGGGTGAACCATTGGATATTATTTGTGCTGCCGATGGTTCTCCTCGTCCTGCACTTGATATATCATTAGATAAAAATGGTACAATACCAACAATCATGGCATTAGCAAATGGTATCCAACCACCACCGATTGTCAATGATCAATTTAAATCAAGTGTTTATGAAGCCTATCGTATTATTGGTTTAATACCATCAGACAATGGACGTAATATAACATGTCAAGTTGATATGAAACATATTGATAAAAAACTTATTTTATCAACAACAAAACAACTTTATATGGAATGTATGTATAAAGTTTGATTTTAATTAAAAAAAAAAGAAAATCGAGACATTATAAACAAATCATTATTTATTCATTAGATTTAAATAAATAAAATTCTATTGTTAATTAATGTATATATATATAGTAGTGAACAAAAGTTTCCGTTCTCAATCGATCTCGGTCACTGTATGGACTGAAGGTTTGAAAATATGTATATATGTCAGCGTCCAAACTGAGATTACGTCCAATCTCAGATTGGCCTAGGCGAATGTCGGATCCGAGATTGGACGCGTCCAATCTCGGATTGACGCAATTCTGTTCATTAAAATATCAATTACCCTTTAGACAGACCTTGGATTCGAACTATTTTTTGAAATTATGTTCACGCCATGCCGTTTTAAGTATTACAAGCATTTAGGAAGAAGCTAAATTTAGACTAAAAAATGTAATAAAAGTTTTTCACAAAAGTTCTTGTTCTCTAGAAATTTATTCATAACTCCTAAAATTTTATTCAAATTTGTCAAATAACAATTGTGCCAAACAAACTGGCATGGTGTGAACATAACTCAAAAAAAATAGTTCGAATCCAGGGTCTGTCTACAGGGTAATTGATATTTTAATGAACAGAATTGCGTCAATCCGAGATTGGACGCGTCCAATCTCGGATCCGACATTCGCGTAGGCCAATCTGAGATTGGACGTAATCTCAGTTTGGACGCTGACATATATATATAGCACGTTCATTCTTGTTCTTATTGTAAAAATGTGTTTATTCTAACGATGATAAATGTAGCTTGTCGAAATATCAAAATAAATACGTATATGATTAATAGATTATAATGTTTGTTCCAGTCTTATATTTCATCTTTTCCTTAGGATAAACCTAGAAAATATTATTCCACTGCTGAAATTGCATTGTTAGCATTTGTATGTTCGACACCTTCGCGCATTCAACGTTGTGTTAATTATTGTTCGCATTATGTTACAATTTTTTTTTTCTTGTTATATATTTTTAAGTCGGGGACATGGAGACATTCAGCGATTAGTCAGATTTTATGTCGTTATTTTTGAAGTCAGTTTTATAAAATCAATTTTGGTTTTGTTTATTACTAGGTATTCTTTCTGTACGAGCATGACATACAATGCTTGAATGATTCACTATGTCTTCATTAAATCAAATCTTTTCTCTTTAATACAGAATCAATCAATACAGTTACATTTTTTATGATATGTCAAAACATGATGTTGAAGCAAAAACTTTCCATAATTAATTTCTTTTTTTAGGCTTTGACGAAAGTTAGACAGGTTTAATGTATTAACAATGTCGATCGCTTTTATTTAACTAAAGTAAAGTATACGATATGAACCATATCTGTTATAAAGCGACGAAAGTAAGCCCATAGTTTCAGTTGGATCCCGTTTAAT